GCCTGTTATTCTGATGGGAGGGGCACATTACGCTTCCATGTGAATTCTGTGCTGTCGGTCTTCACGCGACATACTCAGTGGAAGACTCATAGAAGGCGGTGAGTGTGCAGAGCTATGCTAAATGTGATTGAAATCTTGGTTTAGCGTTTTCTCTGTTTGGTTATGGAGGTGTTTGGCAGAATGGATTGCCGTCAACTTAACTCTTCCAGGCTCTGAGAAAGGTGAAATCTGCCGAAACGTCAGCTTGTGCGTAAATAAAGAAATAAAATAGCACCTCGTGTTTGCTGAACAGAAGTAGAAAGATATATTCAATCAATGCCGAGGTTAATAGAAAGTCGGACTTGAGAATATTCGGTTAACTGATGACGTTTAAGACGATTACAATAAAGTTAATCATCCGCACTTAATCCTTTTCCGTACTGCCTAACCTAACATGAGTGGTTGCAATCTCAATTGAAGCACTATCAGAAAATCTTCGTTGGCACGGTTGAGCTTTGGCGAGCTTTATTTCTTGCGCGAACTGCGAGAAAGAGGTTAAAAATAGAAAAAAAACGCTCTCGGCGTTGATCAATCCTTGAGGGATGCGCCATGTATTAGGCTTCATTAATCATCGCTGAATAAATGCTTATCTGGCCTTTACAATGACTCGCAGTGGCCTACCGATGTATCGAGCCAGCGCTGCTATCCACAAGTCTGGTACCAATTTGCCACCGCGGAGGGATGAAGAGCTTGGTGGACCACGTACGCTGGGAACGATTCCACGTTTGCGTAGCACGGTGCACCCGACTACTGCACCACACATGCCTTACAAGAAAGCGGTAAGCTAATTAAATAAATCGAGATTTTCAAGCTACTTCAAAAACTCTGGACGTGATGGGAACAGCGACAGCTTTTTCAAAAACCACAACATCAGTGAACAAAAGAAAATATTTGTATCAATCTTTCCGTCTTGAGGGTCCATTTTAGAGTTCGCCAGTCCCACGTTATTACTTGTAAGTCACCGTTTATGAAGTTTTGATATCAAAAGCTTGAAATTCAAAACCCTTTTCCAGATATTGTACGCTTTCCTTTTTTCGTTTTCGTCAGTATTTTCTTTCGTTATAAACACGATGATTCCTTTTTAACTCCCTAGGGGAAATCGTTGCAGCTATTATTTAAGACATTTTAAATTTGGATACCCCTATGCCTATACAATATTATACCCTAGAACTTGTTAATGGTTTTGCTTCGTCTCACAAGCCACATTTTCGAGGAAAGTGACCAACCATTTCAGCGCTTTAGGATTTTTACTAGAATTGCTCTCTTTGAATAAACGATTGACGTAATTTTTTCGATTTCATACATTATAGATATTTTCCATCTATGCATATTTCATTCATCCATTGCAATACCCTTGCATTAAGGCCTTCCTAAACTGCCTGACATCCTGTCAGTTTTTGCTATTCTGTTACTAACCGAATAATTCAAGCAGACAGCAGTGAAGCTTCCAGTAATCCGCTTTGTCAAGATTTCTCATTGATATCTACCCACTGAAGGATCAACATTATCTCTAGTTTACTCACCTTTAATCTTGTGTAAAATGTTTCGGAATCAATTTTATGGTTCTCAAAGCTTCACATCTCGTGAGACTCCCGCAGTGACAGCTCCTGTCCAATCCATTACACTTATGTTCACAATGTTTGCGATCTAAATCCTTGTCAGAATGTCCCTCTGCCATTCGATCTTCCTTTTCTCAGTTGCGTGATGCGTGCCATTTCTAACATCTCCTTCTTGATAGCGGTTCGGCAAAACTAAGCACCTTTTCATCTCGCCTAATTAGGCTCATGGTGCCCATAGTAGGTTGAGGCAAGACGAACCATAGATCTGGAAAAGTGGATAGGGGGACAAGTTTTCTTTGTAGTTTCACAATATCTTCCTCACTCTCTTAGTCTCTTACTTACTTGGATAGTTGAACGGCGAGTCCTCACTAGTTGTGCGGGTCCCAGAATAATCTTTATTTTTTGGAGTTTTGCTGGTTTAGCCGTGCTGTTCCATTGTAGCTCCTAGGTCAGCCTGGCCAAAGTCTGCCCCAGGTCGTCACCACCACAAGCAGCCGCAGCGCTTGTGAGTCAGAGGGAGATTTGCTACTATGCGACTTTGATAACAGGTCGTTGGTAGATCCTAGAATTCGTCTACTCTTAGCTGGGCTTACTGGTGGAAGCGCCGGACTTTTTTTAAGCTTGGGGGACCCTGCCAGAGGGTGAATTCCCCCGCTGTACATCGCAGCCCGACACCCAGGAACACCTCCCGCCACGATAAGGCGACAAACCGTTGGGAGGCTCCCAGTCTCTCTCTCTCTCTCTCTCTTTATCTATAAATAAATAAACAAAATGAATAAAGTACACGTACATATGAATATACATATGTGTATATATATACATGTAGTACGGAACATTCGATGGTTCCTTCGGAGAGCGTTGTATTGATTTAAAGAATAAATCAGTCTTAACAAATACTTCTTTCGACTCCAGCGGAGAACGTATTTTTCATATGCGGCGTCTAGAACAGCAAGCTTTCGTTAAGCCTGACTAATCTTCGGTGTGTAAGAATCATACGGTCGGCAAATTGGTTATAGCACCTTTTTTACTTTATCGTTACTCTTTATTCACATGAAGTTTTCGAGAGTGTCAGTGGACAATTTTGGCGAGATGGCACCTCCTTCAAATGAGTTTCATGAAAAGCTTAGTTGCTTGGGGAGATTGTGCTAAACCTTTTCCAAAACTGCTTCCTCACTTGGCCATCTTATTCTCTGTCTCTCTAGGAATGAGTTTATAGCTGAGTAATGAAAGAGTTATGCAGCGGGTGAACTTCCTGAACATCAAATGTTCATCGTGGTTTTATAATTTGCAGAGTTTAAGGTGCCTCCTGAAATCATTTTTCCTATTCCAACCAAGCATGTTGATCTTTTCTTCTAAAAATCATTTTTTTTACTCTTCCCACAAACCTATGTATTTCCTCTGAACTGTTAATTGCTAAAGCCCACATTGCACACCAACGCTATGAGCTTTTTGGACGGACATTTCTAGTGGCACTGTTGCAACTCTCAGTTTCCCTGGTAATTCCCATTTGTGATGATTTCAAAGCGTCATTTTGTGAAATTTTTGTTGAAGATGATAGGATAAGTCTTGAATTAAGCATGAGAGTGTAGCAACCTCACCAGATCTGCTGTTCAGTTCTTCAATGAGTTGAGATGAAGTGCTCTAGCGCACCAATTACTGCATTTTATTGATGGCTGGAGTTGACGTAAATCTGTTTCTCAAGTGACCTGTAACTAGAGTTGAAATTAGGTCCTTGACCTCAATGTTTGCGCAGGAAGTAGTGGTTGATTCATAGTTAATTCACGCTCTGAATAGCAGACGGCATTAAAAATGAAGTCCTGATCATATATAGTTAATATATGGACTATTACCAATCATGGAGTATTAGGCGTGGCTGAGGGAGGTTTTCCTTCGAGAATTGGACGAGAGTCCTTAATACCCTCTTTGACGGTTCTCTTCATTTTCGACAAAGCTTCTTGCCTAAAAATGCTCCGACGATGAGAATGAAATCGAATATGTCGTTTTGGGTTTTATGTCTACAAAGGTTACCGAGATGGCAACATTACCTTCCATACACTTCCCCCAAAAATGTTTCGCAAGACCCATTAATTACAAAACAGCTGGGCCGACTTAATTGGAAGAGTACAGGACCTATGAGATTAATTCAATGTTGCTTGAATGTAATATTTCACTGCTATTTGCTTCGCGTAATTTTGGCGTTGGTTGGATAATTATGCTTTAAAAAGCTAAATTTCCTCGATAACACTTTAGTATGACATACAGTATCTTAGTTGCTCCATGGCATTCTAAGATTTTTAGTAAGTCCAGTAACATTAACAAGGTTTTGTGTTGAAATATTCAGTATGCCTATTTTTGAGGTTTCATCTAAGAGGCGGTCAGTTATTGAACTTTCGAAGCTTTTCCAGAAGTTTTTTGATCCATATTATATATGTATACCTTAGTTGAAAACTGTGACATACAGAGTCGGTGGTCAGCTCGTTCTCCTGCCAACGGCACCCAAGCTTTTCATCATTCGGGATTGGCAAATTGGTTCAGACTTGTCTACGTGGATAACAACACTAAATTAACACAAAGATAAGCCACCAAAAATTATTGCACTAGCCAAATATGTATTCAATCAACTTGACCCAATGAGTGGAGATGAATGGATGGGGCATTATTCACGGATTGATAGTCACTTTATTTCTCTTCCTAATTTTTCCTCTTATTTCAAATGAATCCCGTTCACTTATAATCCTAATGCACCGAATAGAAGACGGTGATTCCATAATAGAAGAAACCGGTTGTGATCTTAGTCACTTTGGTTGAACGCTTCCGAACATACCAAACACTAATGGAAAAGGTAGCACCTGCTTTTTCACTGCTCAGGAATTTCCTAACTTCAGTTGACGGTTATCATCTGCTAATTTTAAAAGGTATTTGAAAACACTCGTGCTTATTTTATTTCGTCCAGGTTTTCAATAGCGGTATACGTATGAAATGTATATAATATAAATTTGCTTATAAACGCCTACGTATAAATGATTGCTTTTGAAGACTACCGGAGCCCAGATGGCTTTCTTCACACTATCAATTCACAGGCTTTAAGATTTCCTGATTCATAGGTTTCCCATTCTAGTATATCGAAAAGAAAATCTACATGCTCAATGAAACGAGGTTAAAAATCGAGAAGGAATCACCAATGAGTTTCGCGAATGCAGTCTCACAGTTTGTCAGCGTAAATATCTGCACTTAAGCCAGTCAATAAGCACTTAGAACGGCTTCTGCTCAATTAATCGACTTTGGTTTTAGTTTAATCTGGTTCGATTGCAACGACAGAATGAAAATAAGTGAGGACAGCGAACTGTTTATTCCTAATTTTAGCAAATTGACTGAAATAAATCTCTCGACTTTGAATTGCAGGCACATTTTCAAGTGGACAGCAATCCGGATGGGGCTGATCTAGAACGAATAGCTAGCATCACTGGTCTTAGCAAACGAGTGACTCAGGTGTGGTTTCAGGTGAGTTCTTGTTTGGTACTTAGACAGTCAGTAGTCACCAGAGTTTCCATTCTCAGTACTTCTTTGTTTGGTATCGTTGTTCTGCAACCGTCCTTGACGACTATGGTTGGGTTCTTGTGTAAGCTCGGTTGCGGTTGATGACTCGCTGCCTTTCCTCTTCATTGGAATGCTGAACGCTGGTGGAGCGTCATTTTAAATGGATTTGCTAGATAGCAGCAGCAGGTCGTTCTCAAAACTTCATTACCGAGTGGTTGCAAATCTTTATGGATCAGAAGGAAGATTGCTCGCTTTTGTTCTGCTGTTACCTGCAACACAATCGATGACAATATATTGCGTTGAGTCTAATTTTTAAGCTTAATCACTACTGTCCAGTTCATATTTTTGACTGTTACCAACACAACATGGTCTATGGAACGCACTATATAAGATATTTAACGAAGAACGAAGTTGAATCTGTACTCTAAGATTCTGTTAATCAATCAATTGTGGACTAAATTTCCATATTTTTTGCACTAGCCTATCCTTCTATATCTAGTGAGAAAAAAATTATAATGAGCATAGGTTAAAACACATCTGAGAAAAAGGCAAGGCGAAAAAGCTGCGTGGTGTGGCCGTGAACATGCAAGCCCTCGGTAAGAGTAACAGTGGGTTCGATCCCCATCACAGCCACTTACGGTCCACTGTTTTGCAAATATCTCAGCATCGTTGTGATTATATTCTACGTTATATCCTTCTACGAAAAAAACAGTAGGAGGTAAATAAAAGTGGCTATATTATAATGAGCATCTTTTTTCAACGGGCGTAAGTGGGGCTGTGATCGAAATGACAGTAATCGGAAATGTTCTCTAAACTAACGTGTTTATCAGTGTAGTAAGAAATTGAGGGAACTATTTTCTCATATGCTTCCCCACACAAAATTGTTCTTGATTCAAGCACATTGTTGCTCAGATATTTGCACCCCGGACAGCAGGTGTCTGCGGTAGGGAACAAATGCGCTATTACCCTTTTGAGGTGCTAACGTGTTCACCACCACACCATGCGGGTCCTTCGATTAGTCTGTCTCTCAGTTCTTGAATCACTTATGATGTTAAAAGCGTTGCTATTTCACTGACAACACGAAGTATAAAAGAAGTTTCTCATCCACGTCTAATCTTTATCCTTACTGCTTAATGCAACTCGAGTGGTTGCATTCTCTAGTGAACTACTGCGGCAAAATCTTTGTTGGCATGTTAAGTCTCGGCGAACTTTCTTCCTTATATAAATAACAATAAACGGGAGTTTTCTTTAAAGATCGATCTATTTGTCACTGAAAAAAATTTAGAGAACAATTTCATCACGTGCTTTTCCAAACATAATCTTCATTGATTCAATGGCAGTGTTCTAAAAGAACATGAAAAAAACCTTTCGCCGAGGATTAACCAAATTTACCAGAGTTCGAAAAAGGACAATTTAAAGCAAACTCATCCAAGTTACAGAACTCGAGGGCTCGTCAGAAGAAGTATCAAGGCAGTCGAAAAGGTGGTGATGGAACTTTGGACAGTACTCGTTCCTCTGAAGGACCTGGTAGTCCTAGCCAAAAGAGTGAGGCCAGCAGTGATGGCATGTTCCCTAGTTCTGTCACGACAAGGTTAAGTTAAAAGATAATAAATGTGCTTACAAGGATGTAAACGTAAACACAGACCGTTTTAATTAAATATTTCTTAAGTCATGAATCTTGCAAGGTTCATTTAGTTTTTGTAGTTTTATACCATCTCTTTGTCTCAGGTTTAGGGTACTGGAAAGAAAGACATGAAACTTCATTATCAACAGTGAAAAAGTGGTGTTCGTTAACGTTCATTGGGGTGATTCACAACTGTATTGGAAAGTTAAGCATTTTATTCTTGTGAACTACAATAAAATAAAATGGAAAAAGATTTTCGAAGATCTCCGATAGGTAATATTTATTGGTTGGTTGCTTGCCTTTGCAGATTCGATCCTGTTTTGCGCTGCACATGTTCTTAACCGTTCGTTATCAGCTCTACTCGTTATCTAATAAAACAACAATTGATTCAATATAACGTTCTTAGGTCCGCATGCCATAGTGGTTAAAGACGTTCTGTTATGCAATGCTTGTCCTTGGTTCGATCACGCGTTCCTTGTTTACCAAGCTCTCCACTCCTCCGGGTCCAATTACTGCAAGTCGGCAAATTGTTGCCAATCTTGTCTTACTATGTAGGCCAAATATGCATTCAACCAGCGTTAGCGATGCTTCGAGTAGAGGGAATTCTTGGCGCATCCCTCAAGGTTTGATCAAGACGGAACGCTTCATCTGATCACCTTTAATAAAAAGGATAAAGCTCTCGGCTTTGATCAATCTCTGAGAGATGCGCCATGCATAGCCCTTTATTATGCATCGTTTAGAGTTGATTGAATGCATATCTAGCCTTTACTCGCGGTGGCCTACTGTTGTATCGAGCCAGTGCTGCTACCCTCCCAAACATGTCTGGTGCCAATTTGCCGACCTTGGAGGGATGGAAGGCTTGGTGAGCCATGGGCGCGAGGATAGTTTCCACGTGTGTTGCAAGGCGCCTCCGACCACTGCGTCACACACGCCTTTCTGGTCATCTTAATGGTTATAATATTCCAAAACTGTAAAGAACTTTGTATGTTTTATTCTCGTCAGATAAAAGCAAAGTTTTTAGTGCTGAAGAAGCAATGACTGATTCTGCCGTCGTGCTGGCATCTTTACACTACGAATAGGACTACGAAGGCTCCCATGTTATTGGTGAAAATCAGGGATGCCATGTTTCATGTTATTTTTTTGTTATAGTCTTTTATATTCATTTTACTGTCATATGTACAGTGTCTATCTGCGATCGTACTGTGTATGTATGTCTGCGTGTGTGCGTGTCTAACATCAAACCGCTCTCACTTATCTAGTCATTTTTTTTGTAAGTTCCAATGCTCTTGTTAGTAACCAGTAGTCGCTAAGCTAATATCGATATTGTAAACTGAACTTTGGCTCATTATTTATGCCTGTATCATTTGTGATTTAAGATTATGAAGTTGAAGAAAATGAATTACCATATGCTGTGAAATGTGCAATGGATCTCTCTGATAATCCAGGAAACGAACCCTGAAGGAAAATTTCTGTGATTAAAGCATAAGTGCTTGTTTCTTTCAGACATTATGCTCTTCATATGCATACCTAGCTGATATTTTAAAAAGTCCGGAAAATACTAGATTTTGAAATATCTTCTAGATTGAAACCCCACATAGTGAATCAGTTACAAGTCCGGCGAAAGCAAAACCGTGACCAAATCTTCAATCTGCTGTGGTGCCTTCTATTATCACACGTGGTTGCAGGACGTTCTTCCCGTGTAGAAGTGGAATTGATTCGCTGGGCGTGACCTATTAAAAGAATGAAGGATAAAGCTCTCGGCGTTGATCAATCCTTGAGAAATGCGCCATTCACTCGACTTCATTAAGTATCGCCGGAGGTGATTAAATGCATATCTGGCCCTTACAATGACTCGCGGTGACTTACCGATGTATCGAGCCAGTGCTTCTATCCTCCCAGACAACTCTGGTACCTGTTTGCCGACCCCGGAACCATGGAGAGATGGAAGGCTTGGTGAGCCATAGACGCGGGGATCACTTCTACGTGTGTGTCGTAGTGGCGCCTACAACCACTGAGCCATGTTACTGGCCTATTAAGCACCAGTAATTTGTATTCTAGTTTCGGCCACTCTATATGTAGGATCCTACCCCAAACATGTGAAGGCGGAAGTAGACTTACGGAAGTAGACGTATTCAGCAATTTGAGTATTTATACACAGAAGGCATAATTAAATTCGATACAGCAGCGACGACATCTGCTACCTGAAATCAACCCATAGCTCCGTCGTCTACTGGAGATTCGCCACGTTGTTACGCGACTATCCAAGCTGAGAACCAAATTATCATTGGGAACTACACTCCGTCATCATTAGAAAATATTGTCAATGGTGTAAATTTCCTTTCTTGAAAAAGTACAGCAATGCTGTGCTTAACCTATGAGGGCTTACCGTCAGCATACTTTGAAGTGCTTTGATCCAAAATAACTCTGATTGTTTCACTTCGATTCACCCGTTAATGAAGATCATTTGATGGGCGCATTCTAAGGAGAATAAACGCTCTACAATATCACCTTCAACTTTCCAAAGCTGTGTTTTTTCCAGGATCGACTTTCTCTTAACCTCGGCATTGGAATATGAATGTATCGTTTTCTTGTTCAGCAATCGCGAGGTTTTTAAACAGCATACATTTACTTCCATAAAAGCACAATACAATACAACGCTAGCTGACGTTTCGGCAGTATCGCCTTTTTCAGAGCCTGGAAGGGTACACTGATATACAATCTACTAGGCCAGACGCTTCAATAACACTTACACAAAGACGAAAGACTCTTTGGTAATTACACGATCAACAACTTCTCGAAAAACCCACCGCTGTGTTTTTTTTTGACAAAAGAACTATGGAATACTGCCATTCTCTATTTTCTGTCGATAAGAGCTTTATTCTACTTTTTGCCGCCATGAAAACAGATTTTAATATAAAAACAGTGATGGAGAAGAGTGAACTTTGGTCGCTTATTGTTATTCTAGATAGTATAGTTTGAAAGTTTTGATATGGGGTAAGGTATATGACTGGTAAGATTTAAAGTCTATCACGAGTGGGATCTATGAATTAAAATTCGTGATGGATATTCAGGTGTATGAGCGAAAATATTTCCACACTTTACCTTCAAATGAGTGTTGTGTCAAGATCACTACGCATAGAACTTTGGAAAAGATGAACTGAAAAGGGCGATGCGTCCGCACAAGGTCACTACAGTTCACGCTTGCATATTTATTGTAAATCGCTTTCCGAATCAAGAGAAAAAATGCGACTGACAGTTAGAATAAGGTTACAACAGCAACATTCTTCTTCACGGTTGTAGTGATCGTGGAAGTTTACGAAGGTGATGACGGTGGCGTCGAATGTTGGTGGCAATGAGAACGGTGGTGATGATGATGATGGCGATAATGGTGATGATGGTGATGATGACAACAACAACAACGACGACGACGACGACTTGGAACGACGACAACGATGCTGCGACGACGAAGACATCAACGACGATGATGATGACAATGGTGCTGATGATGACGATGATAATGAGGATAATGATGATGATGATGATGGTGAAGATGATGATAGTAACGTGTAATATTGTGAAGAAAATTGATTTAATACTGCAAGCTCCTTCAGCCAGTTTTTCTTTTCGTTCATCGTTCAGTATTCTCTCACCATTTCTCGTAGCGAACTTGGTCAGCGCGAAGAGCACTACACGCTCCAGTCCTTTCATGTAATCGCCGATTTCCATGGCAAACCATTTTCAGCCAGCAACTTTTCTACGATTGAAGCACGACCGATTAAAAAATGATCTACTTTCTTCTGTAGATGATTTTCACTTTCGTTTTTAATTGTTTTCATGCTTTATAGGATTTCCTGTGAAGACGATAACAGGAATGTTAACTTCCGTCCTTCACCCTCACATTCGATTACATTTATCAATTGGTGGCCGTTCATTGTGTAACATGTTGAGTTAGTTTTTTCGTATCATTCATGTTCCTCTCATTCTGACTGACTCATTCTCTGGATTATGGATCGGTACCAGTCCATAACTCATGGTTCGGCACACTCATTAACGATTTTCATCGGTTATTCGCTTTGGTGAAATTTTGTTGAATCATCGATATTGTCAGCTGTGTAGATAAGGTTTTCATGTCGAAATTCTTCTCAATTCGTTTCTGCATAATGTGTTTCTGTTTTATGATAGTGCTTGATATGGCGTGACCGAAGGTGAGGCAGCGCCGAAATTGATTAATTTAGAAGAAATGTGCATGCAAATTGCCAACCAGTTCTGGCCTACACTTGCCCCGTCCATTAGCCTGCATTTGACTATTGATTTGATTGGCGAAAACCTAGTCGTGGTCGTTTCGTCGTCTCTCAACGCAACTATTTGCATTGATATGCGAACTCTCTAACACTTACTTCATCAACTCTATTCACTGCTCTGACACTGATCATCGACAATCTGAAACAATGGCAACAGCAACAGCAACAGCAATAAAAACACGGAGAAACTCATCATCCGTTCGTTTGTTACTATTAGGTACTCTCTCGCTTGTGCAAAATTTTTCTTCATTTTGCACATAAACACAAATAAACACATACACACACCCTGCTCAGCATTAGTTCCCGACTTTTAGTAATCTCGAAATGTTAAGTGTGTAATGTTTATTATTTGCACGCGCCTTTTAAGCGAGAGCGATTTTCCCGCCAAATCGCGCAATCGTTTCGCGACGAGACGCGACGATTCGCGACATGCCGCGAATGCATAATTTGTCTAGCGAATTCGCCCGTCGTCCGCCCGGTATGCAAATAGTGCAGTGCGCTCGATCGCTGTATAATTTTGTGTTTATCGAGATTTCACTCTCTGCTTGCGTATATGTAAACGAAGTCAGTGCCAACCACCCTCCTCCCCCCACACCTCCCCAACTCTCCTTCCATTCTGCATTGCTGCAATCAATCCATACACCCTAGCCTACCTACCTACCTATCTACTTCCTACATCACACCGTACTGCGTCCTCATTAACAGCTGCTACAGCTACTGACGGCGTTTCTTTGCGTCATGAGAGCGACAGATAGAGAACATCCAGCTATAAGTGTTTCCACAATAAAATGGTTCCATTAGCGTATTCGCTAGAGATGGAAAAAACCTCATAAACTTAACGTTCGTTTTCAAAACACCGTATAACAATCAGAGAGTTCGAGCTAAGAAATAATTTATGACCATACCATATTTATGTCAGTGATGGGAAATATTTCATGTTGTTTGGTTACACCGTAAGGCTCTTTAAATAATGATGCCACTTCGATATCGTTATTTATTTAGTTTTTTGTTTCTGACAATATTTTCGAGCTTAACTATTTTAAAACGTGTAGTTGATAGAAGTAATTAATGTTAACACAGCTTCATAAATCTTCGTCATTACCGAACATTAAGGAAATTCAGAGAGTGTTATGTGGTTTGTGAGGGCAGCGAGCGATATACTCTAATCTCTTCAGGATCGCGCTGCCGACTGAGAAGAAGGCGACCCATCCGACCAGGCAGCCAGCCAGAAAGGCGTTCTTCTCGCTGGCATTTCTGGATTATTCATTGAGCTTCCAGTTGACTTTTTGGCTTATTTTCGCTTGCACAGGCAAATGCTCTGCATATCTTCATCTCATATGCAAAACGACGTCCACCGGAAACGTCATTCCGTTTCGGCGTCAGTAAGCTCACTAAAGCCTAACAACACAACACTTCGCAATAAACTACGAAATTCGACTTCGACAACGATTTCCTTCACTATCTTTTTTAGTCTTCATATGTTTTAGCGTTATCTTCAAATGGTACTGCATTTCTGTTCTGTATATTTATTCTGTTTCATAAGAAAATAGTTTTCCTGCTACCATTGTTATCAAGGCTACTTTTACTGTTAATTTTACTATTAACAACATTATCATACAAATACTGTTATGATAATAGTAGTAGTAATACTAATAATGATAACAATTACAATGATAATAGTAACAGTAATAACCGCCACAATAGTGCTAATAGGAATAATCCTATAATATCCTTGTGACGAATGAACCTATTACTATCACCAACTACTACTACAAACTACTTTTATTAGCATTACTACATATGTTGCTTTATTATTATTATTATTATTATTATTATTATTATTATTATTATTGCCACCAGTGAAAAGGCTTTACTTAAAACTTTAATGTTAGAAAAGAAATTAAATGCATTGTAGGTGCCTCATGAGCAGCCCTTACTATGATTAATCGAGCACATTCAAAACCACTACATTCAGGACCATACCAATCAGCAACAAAAAAGTGCGATTTATTGCTGTTTATTTTTACCAGTAGGGACAACAGAAGTCAGAACGTAATTTTGAGAGGACTCAATTGGAAATGAAATCCGAAAATAGAAATCATTTCTTCTTTTTTCTTCATCGTGAAATGTGAGGGCTAAATCGATAGGATTTATTAGTTCTTTTTTTGTAAAAAGACGTAACCATAATTACTTATCTTCTTTGGAGTACAATGAAGTACTGCCAGTACCGTTTTTTCCTTCGAGTTGTTTATCTGTTGTTCTATGCTTTTATGTTGCTTTGATATTGGATAATTGCGCACGTATTTCTTATAGTAATGTTAATGATTGTTGAAATGGTTATGCAGTACTATTGTTAGTCATGGTGGAACACTTATTTTCGTTGCATCGTTTTCCTTCCTGGTTTTTTTTTTTAATTTTTTTTTTCTTTTAGAAGACTTTAGCTTTGAAACTGCGAGGGAGCTCCTATCCTATCGTAAGCAATGTTGAGACGTTCTTCGAATGAAAAATACAACTACTCGAAGTGCTTCTTTCGACTAGTCGGTGTGCATTTCATCAGAATGAATGCCATTATTTTTAGACAAAAGTGTATAGTAGATATTAAGCAATGTGATTCGATGTGAATGAGTGGCGCTTGTGTGAACACGTGTTAGCTGAAGATTCGCATAATAGTCAAGATTTGGTAATGAATGATTGTGTAATACGGAGGAAGGGGGCTGTTGAGAGAGGTGATTCGATCGCATGCCGATCCACAAATCACCACTTGTTTTTCATAAACACATTCTTAAGAACAGCACACGATCTTCACCTCTTGCCAGTTGTGTTTCGAGCGTTAGGGGTGTCTGGAGTGCAATCTGCTTCCAAGTGTTAATCTACCTCACTCCAACCGCCATCTCTTAGTTCGCACTTTCCTACCTACAATTTTCGTGTTCATCAGTGACAAGTGTTTCTTGTCTCCATCATCGTGTTTCCTTTTTTCACTGGTATTTCACTTTCACGTCGTTTTTTTATTCGTCGATATATCACCGTTTGTGAATGGCGATGAATTATATACTGCATCATATTGCTGCCTATCATACAATATTGAGTCGATCTGAAGATTCTTTCACGTTGAATATGCAATTCTTTGGGGACTTTAAAGCAAGTGAAACCATAAGTTTGCCATAAAATGAGGTATCCTATAAAATTCGGCATTCTGAAAGTCAGCAACAACCAATACCCACAACAGCAGCAACGCAACAACAGCAACACTGTTTAAGAAACGCAGTCATTCAGCTGAACTCGTATTTTAACTGCATCTAAAATCTAACGACAGCCGAAGTTATGCAGTCCTCGACTTCTCCATTAAATGAGTGTTTTATTATATATCATGTCATTTAAGCAAATGAAATACAAATAAAAAATAGTTGCGACAGCACAATACTGCATGGTCGTTTCGTACGGTGGTTTAGAGAAAGTTATTGATGTTTCCAAAAAATCGGCCTCCAAATCAACTGAGGTTAGATTCCTTTCCGTACTTTATCTGAGGGCTATCGGTAAAGTTGACAGTTCGTAGCCAGGAGCTATTATAGCCTTCTTTCCCACTATTTCTGTTTTTTGACGATTTAACATGGCTTTAAGTTTAGTAAAGGACTCAAAAATATAATGTTTGTCGTGGTAGGCTAATATAGATATCGATATTAGTTGTTGCCAAGTAGAAATACGGGAAATGTTGCGCTTATCTAGCTTCCTTCCCCGCAAACGGATCTAAAGATCCATAACGTTTTTAGAAACAAGACCAAACAGTAAAGAAATGAAGAATGCAAGTTAAGAAGATCTCGCTAGGAACCTGATAGCAAACACACTATGCTGAATTTTTCGCTTTGAGCTTTCGATTATTTTACGGGCATCGCTCATTTTTCGTTTTCGTGTGGTGTTCCGGTCTACTCGATTTCTTTGGATGCGACAGGAAGTGAAAATCAACAAGGTAAGATGTAACAACCGCTGTTGGAAATACCAGACACGAATCACTATGGATCTGATGAAAGTGAAACCGACGAAACGTTAGCCATCGTAATAAACATTGTTGATAACCTCATGCAAGCTCAAAATTGAACTAAAATTTCTATTTCTTATATTCTATTCCATTGCATCCTTTTTATTTTATGATTTTTTAGCGACGAGTGTTCACAAAATCTGACCACTTGTCTCTGTTGTTCTCAATTTCACCCCGTGAACACAATGCTTCATAGTCATTAAGTTTTCCATCTCTGAAAAGAATTTTCTCCCATTGTTTCTTTAGAAAACATCCGTGCAATCTTCGTGTTAAATAAGTCGAACAACTACGAATTTGCTGCCAATCCATTTCATTGCACATCCAAAAGACCAACTTTATTCTGATATTCTTATTTAAGTGGCTTAAAGGGTAAAAGATGAAGCTCTGGGCTTTGATCGATCCCTGAAGGATGCGCCATCCATTCGACTTCATTAAGCATCATTGGTGATTGAATGCATACCTAGCCATTAAACGACTCGCGGTGGCCTGCCGATGTATTGAGCCAGTGCTGCTGTCCTCCCAGGCAAGTCTGGCGCCAATTTGCCGATTCCGGTAGGACGAAAGGCTTGGTAGCTTGGTGCGCTGGGATCAATCCCATGTGTGTGTGTTTCAGGGCGCCTCCGACTACTGCGCTACGCGCACTCTTTTTAAGAGTTTTAAAGGTGTTAAAGTAAAACGAAGACCTCATCAAAATTAAATGCGATGTTAATGTTTATGTTCTGCTTTTTTCAGCTCATCATTCCTTACTCCTTTAATCTTAATTAGAGCATTGAAAAACATCTGCTTGAACATTTGAATGGTTTTTGAAAGTTTCCTAGCAAACCTTTTTCATTTATGTTCTATAGTTTACGTTTTTAAGTTAAGTTATATATGCGGCAGCACATTCATTTTTAAGTCATATTTTTGCAATTTTGTGTCTTTTCTTCCTCATTACTAATAGGGTTTTCTTCAATAGGGTTTTGTTTCTCGTTAGTCATTATTGTTGTTTAGTATCTACTATCTGTTGGCCATAACTCACTCACTATTCGCTCTCTTGTTCTTCTTTATTTTTCATTATCCGTCTTCTCTTATTGCTGTTTACTATTTACCATTTATTACTCGCTTCTTTTTTGAGTTTCTAAATACCAATACTATTCATCGTCAAGCTCATTAGCAATTAAAATAGGAGTTCAATGATGCTGAGATAATAGCAAAGCTCGGGACCGCAGGTGTCTGCGGTGGGGAACGAACGCGCTACTGTCCTTTCCGGGGAGTACAGTAAGAGACAGACGAAACGAAGGACCCGCACAGTGTGGTGGTGAACGCGTTACTCCCCGGAAAGGACAATAGCGCGTTCGTTCCCCGCTGCAGGCACCTGCGGTTCAGAATTTTTCAAATATCTCAGCATCATTGAAGTTATATTTCGCACTATACCCTGCCATTAAAAAGAGCAAGAGGTAAATAATAAGTTAAAATTGCGACTAAAATAGGAGCTTTTTCGGTCGCATATGGAAAAAATGTGGTCACGTTGTGCTCTTTATTCCTTATGGTAAGAACTGCTTAGTTGAATGTTTGGACAGAATGAAAAGTCAACGAATATCTAATTTTAGTAACTGTCGTTTTCATTTTATCTCCAAGACATCATTTTCTAAAGTGAAAATAAATGAAATGGCTGAGAAGAGCTAGAAAATCTTAGCAATAACAACAACAGCAACAGAGTGAGCCACATCACCCGCAACGGCAACAACAACAATATTCGCCACGCATGTTGACGATAGCATTTTCAGATGTGTCTTTGTCGAAACCGATTTTACCCGTCATGTTAGAGTGGTTTCAGCATATTGCGTATCACATTGTTTTGCCGTTTTTCCCGTACTGTTGTAGTAACAAGGTGTATGAACGAATGAACGAACGAGCGATCGACAATGTGTGGAAGTCGAAGTAAACACGTCGTCTACTTTGTCTCTACTCGTTATCACCACCTCCACCATATGCATATATGCGTATTGCTGGCAGAAGATTGATTGATAAACGTGTTTCGTGTTTTCTCGAACGTTCCAAAATTTTCCATACTATATTCATTGGGGTACTGCTAACTTATGATCATCACTTATTCGTCTTCAGTACATTGCGCACTTCTCAACTCCACTTCTGCTGTCCCTCAGTAAATTCCCTGAGGAGACGAGACTGGATGATGGACAGATAATGCTTCGTGTTCAATCTTAACCGTTATCTGAAGATGTCTAAATTCTTGTCACTTTTTTGATTCCGCACTGGAAAATGTCATTACCCTTTAAATAGATGTTTTTTTTATGTTGTATTCGGTTTGCTCTGTTTTTCGGGTCATTCTAAAAGTCGCCTTCCACTAACACAATTTGTTGTCATGACATTTCTTCAACACTGATAGGTTGACAATTAAACAACAGATGAACTAAATTATTAATTAATTAAACGATATATTGCCATTTACTCTTTGATTCCCTTTTTCATTTCTTTCTTAGTCCTTTAAGTGTCTTTGCTTGATTATTCTTCTCTTTTGTTCCGCTAATTTATCTCGAATCATTTTTATCATCACATTTCACATACGCACATACGCATACTCATCCGAGTAGTTACGCTTTATAACAGAAAGGTGTCGACCAAAAAATACTTAATACTTAAAGATTAATTTTGGTCAGAAGGGTGTGTGTAGCGCACTGGTCGGAGGCGATCTGCCATATAGATAGGATTGTTCCCCACGCCTCAGGCCCACCAATTCCTTCATCCCTCCGGGGTTGGCAAATTCTTACTAGACTTATCTAGGAGGATAGCAGCACTGTCTCGATACATCGGTAGACCACCACAAGTCATTGAAAGGCCAAGCATGAATTTAACCACCTCTAAAGGTGCGTAATGAAGTCGAAGACATGAGGATTTCCTCAAGGATTGATCATTGCCGAGAATTTTATCCTTTTTTCTTTAGTTGTGGTCGAAAGTTTCTTTTTACGTTTCATTGATGTTGAAAATGAACGATTTCATCGTATTCTTTGTGATCTGTCCAGATCACCAGGTTGAAAGAACAATTTTGTTCTACGGCCATGCACTGCTCGATAGATGTCGATTCGTTGTGCGTTCACTGATCGAACTATGCTGGCTACCACCTTGTTCTCATTATTATTCTCTTCTTTTCTATCCCTCCTCATACCTTTTCTACTCTGTGGACACTTTCTTTTTCATTATCATCTGCTTGGATTGCATAGCCATATGTTAGATGAATATTAAAAATCTTGTTTTTAGGCCGATGAAATTAGTATGGAAGAGAGCAGCTATGTTCCATTAGGTAATGAAGGTGAGTTATAAAATAGATAATTGTTTTCAATGTACTTCATGATACAGTTTTTAGCCGTTATAATGCCACCATGTGGATCACACACATTATTGCGAGTCGGCAAATCCACTCCGTCATGCGCCACTGGCTCACGACGCCGTAAGGGGCAACCGGTGAAACGAAAAATTATCGAGGTTAACAAGCTGCTATCATCTGAACGGAAAACTTTCTATATTTACCACTAACCTATTTTGCAACAGCTACGATTTATCATTAGCATACTGGAAGGCAGGTCTATCGACTTTGCGCTGCAGTAAGTCTAGTCAGTGAGCGGCTGCCGTATATCATCGGTGGTTGGTTAGCGGATTTGTTTTACTGCTTGGATCAGTTTGTGCTTTTAAATAATCTGCGGCCACTATTCGCGTTTTTGTCGCGATGCCATCGTTTTTTATACTTAGTTTGCTCTCTCAGTTGAAATCGTTGAAATCGTAAAGAGTCTTAGAGAAATCATTCACTGGTTAGCTCCTATCATCATTTTCGCAACAAAAAAGAAACGAAATGTTCCGTTTTCCGTCCGACCCCAGAAATGTTCCCTGTATTCTTTAAGCACATACTACCTTTTGCTCACAAGACTTTTTTTTCGTTCCATTTCTATGTTCTGAAAAAATGGATGCAAATTTTCAAGAGCCAAGAGGAGTCTTTGCTGAATGCATGATTCTACACCACGGTTGCTAAAGAATTTCTTTTTTTCACATTTGTGGGAAGTCAAAAGTACTAAATTATCAACCCTCTTTTCAAATGGGTTTTTTTTGTACTTGAGCGCTGTGGTCATGTAAGTTATAGTTATCATTTGGAGTTTAATTCAGCTCAATATAAAAGTGTTTATTCGCATGAGACTTTGTTCGAAGAGATTGTTTTAAGTTGTTCAGGAAACTACCTCGTTTACCCGTTAGTAAAAACGTTAATCTTTTTACAAAAATCTTCATATTTTATTATATATCCGGTCAAATAGGCAAAATAAAACTATTAACGGTTGTGGTTTCATCTAGCTTTGAAGGCGAAGATTTTCTGTTTCGAGCGAGTATGATCTGCGAAAGACATCCTGAAAATATCCATTGATGAAGTTTCTCTCTCTTGACCGACATCTCTATATGTGAGGAGAATAGCTCAGTGTAAATCTTTGGTCGTATAGGTTAAACGAAGTTTTCATGTTTTTAGAGTAGCAACTGGCGAGTACTAGCAAAATTATAGAAGAGTAGAATGAAGCGTGTTTGTAGCGCAGTGGTTGGAAGTGCCCTCCAATACACAAGTAGTATTTGCTTCAATGTTTTTCTTCAATAAGCAGACACGAGGTTGTTAATATAGAATTTACTAGAATACAACAGCTGACGTCTCGGCGGTTTCGTCTTCCTCAGAGCCGTTTATTTGTTGTAAGTATTTAAGTTAGTTGATGGATATCCACCGCACAGAGTAATACATGGGCGATAACTCAGGGCTTCGACCGCATTTTCAGGGCTCACCGTGTCTTTTATGCTTTTGGAGTCGAGAAATTGGTACGAGACTTCTCTGATGAGACTGATAGGATAACAGCGCTCACTCGATTCATCGCTAGGCCACTGAAAGTCAGAGTATAGGGCAGATATGCATTCATTAACCTCTAAAGACGCCTAATGAAATGTATAGCGCATCCCTCAGGGATTGATCAACGAAGAGAATTTTATCCTGTTCAGGTGCAGTGCATATGAATACAACGCTTTTGACGCTATAATGACACTCCTTAGGTGTTCACTGAACCTCATAAATACTATTACTCTACCAGCAGTTCATAACAATGATAACTCATGTGTTGCTTTACAGTGCGACGAGGAGTTCTGCAGTTCAACGATGGCCAGCACTGCCGATCACAATGAGAGAGCCTCAAGTGTGCCTAATGCAGTGTCGACGATGGCGGCCGGCAGCGCTCCGAAGTCGAAATGTGACTCCTCCTTCTGCTCGCTGTCCTCTTCCTTCTCATCCGGCCACCATCCAACATCTAATTCTTCTCAAGCGCTTCAGATCGAACCGGCATCATTCGCTGTCGATCCTAGTACTATAATGATCGATTCAAGTAATATCGTTGTCAGTTCAAGTACTTCTGAAGTTCTTGCCACCACTGGAGAGTTGGCTCTACATATGAAGCAGTCGCTACATAATTTAACATCTGAAGAATGCCCACCGGATCCAATACCAAATTTGACAAATCCACACAAATTGTGAGTTATCCCTTTCATTTAATTGCTTTTAGTATAAACTAATGCGTAATTAATTTCCTTAACATGTTAGCCACCATGTGAGTTATTATTGGAGCATAAGTAGATAAGCAGATACTTTGGACAATATAATCTCTGTGCGATGTATATTACAGCCTAATCTTAGCCTTTCTATTTACTGCCCATTTTTTTAACGGTGGGGTATGTTGCGAAATATAACTTCTATAATGATGAGATATTTGCAAAACTCCGGACCACAGGTGTCTGCGATGGGGAACGAACGCTCTACTGTCTTTTCCGGGGAGTAACGCGTTCACCACCACACCATGGGGATCGATAGAACTAGCAGAGAGACAGGCGAAACGAAGGGCCAGCATTATAGAAATTACAGCCTAATGCTTTCTCACAGGTCTTTCCGTTATTTGGGGCACTAATTTAATAGTCTTCCCTCCGCTGATAATTTTACGCTGAATATTTAAAAAAAGAAAACTGCCGTATAAGCATCACAATTCGTGCAAACCATTTACAAGAGTTTATTTCGCGGCGTTTGCCTTTTTACTTTAGGAAAACAATAAGATTTATCTTGATGCTGTGCACGAGATTGTGAAAATATCTATGCGCCATTTTTTTTTGCAGAATCCTAGGCCAAGGGCATCTCCTCATCATGTAATACAGTATGTCTTTGGAAATAATTCTTTACTTTTATTCCTGCATTCTTCCACTGAGGTGCTTAACTTTGGACTCAAAGAAAAGATTCTCTACAAACGCATGTCACATTTCTTGCATTGTGGACACGTTTTCCAGCAGACCTTACATATTTCGCTCACTCATTACGACTGCAATCTCAATTTTTTGGTCCTGGATTGGTGGTCTGTTCTGAGAAATGTTGAGTTACAGGCGTAGGCACAGCACTACCAGTTTGGAATAAACTTAAAGCGATTTCTATCTTGAGCTAATATATCGTTGCTTTCTGCATAATTTCGCCACCAATCCTTCTTGTATTCAGACGGAATCTGAATAACTAGAGATATGAAAAATCGCATTCACGTAAGCTATGGAGAAGGAAAGATGTACGAACGACTTCTCTTTTCCCAGTTAACAGGAAATATCACTCTATCTAGTTGCATATATCCGCGGTTTTACTTGGATGCAGATTTTGATAATATTCGGCCTTAGCGACTTGGTGGTAAAGGTCAGTGCAAGTGCTGCGTACATCGTAATGGAATGTGATCTATCCATCTTTCCATTTAAGCACGGGTTATGCTTCATGACTCTTAGTTAATTCCTCTTCAGCTTTTGCTGGATGACCACCTTAAGGCGTTCTCCCGTGTCCTTTCTGAACATGCCTATTGCATCGGTTTTCCTGTTAAGAAACTTGTCAGGCACTGACTGTGGGCCTTATTTGTTCATCACTTTCACAATAAAATCGCAGGTTTCATCCATAAAATCTATTGATTGTATGCGGACAATCGCAATCTGTCAATTTACTTCAGATTGACCGACATCGAGGTTCCAAGAGTGTAGGTAATTCTACATTATCCTCAGGACAGTGAAATGTGCGAGAAAAGAGATAGCATGCGAGTGCTCATAGAGAAAAATATGGGTCTTACATGATTCATAGAACGGCGGAAAACAACTGCGTTGTAATCCGATAGGGGTATTCTCGAAATTTTCTCATGTTCGCGGAAGTGTTGAACACAGTTAGCTTTGCAAATTCGAAAGTGGATATATTTGCCTAAGTTATTGAATGGAGTGTTTAATATGAGCTGATTGCTAGGTTAATGAATCTCTTTGAGTTCCCCGATATTTTATATCGTTATCTCAAAATTCATAATCGGGATTTACTGAGTGTTTGAGGTCATGTTGGTTTCCTTAGAGGATGGGAACCACCGGAGAATGTTTGTTTCTGGAGACTGCAAGAACCATTTCTAACCATCAATGCTCTCTTTTTTGTTAATTCATAACACGCTTTCTCTTTTGTGGTAATTTTTCAAAAAGGAAATCCCAATGCAGAGGCAAATTTCAGTACACAGTAATGAGTGCAGGTTGACGTTTCAGTTACTATCGTTTTTCTATTCAATTTTTTGAAATCCCTTAATAATTCTTTGAAGCTTCGAAAACGCAGTTATAATAACAATGACATATTTCATACCTTGACCGAATGCGCTTCTCTCTAGGACAGGAGGGAATTCATTGAACTTTTGATGAACTACAATAGAGTAAACGGGCTAGCAGACATGTTTGTTTTCCATGGATTACTTTCTTTCACTGCATTACAGCTCAGTACTTTTTGGTTACGTGTGTTTGTATGAATTGTGTGCACGAAACGAATTACATACAATCATTTTTTCGTCGAATAGTGAGGTTCACCATGTTCGTTGACGATCGGTTATCGTTGTGTAATCGGATCAGTGCAATTATTCAGGGTTTAGGCATTTACGTCGTCGTGATTTGTAGTAGTGTAAAGAAGTGATAGGGGACATATAACCAAGTACATAACCATATCGGTTTCGGATGGCTTTTTATTTTTTTATTTAGAAAAGCCAATTGTAAAAAAAAGGAGAGGAAAGGTAAAAAATTGTTGCTGTTTATGATCATATATACATTCATTTGTCTCATAATATCCAGAGATTATTCTTATAAGCGTGATTTGATTTAGTTTGGGCGGGATTGTCAATCAGAGCACAGCTGCAGATGAAATGGAGTTGCTTCGACGTCTGATTGTGTTGGTTGGATCGAGTAACTTGGCTGGTCAGACAGCTGCATTGCAGCTTCTTCTCTCAGGTTTGACATTTTCCATGACTTTCCTGGAGTACCGTTAAATTGAATCACACTGACGAAGTGTTTGAGTTTTAAATGGAGATGCGAAGGTTGTTAGTGTGTTGTTATGCAGTAATTGTCTTAAATCGCTCAAGTAAACTTTTTTTTATTGTGGTTCAAGGATAAGGTGTTTAAATTCAATGGGAGTTTTTGGAAGGCTTCATCAGTTTATTAAAACCATTTTTCCTGTTTTCTGTCCTTGCTTAGTTAAGAAATTCTATTTTATCGAATCAAGTCTGCGACAACTTCATAAATGAGGAACAAGAGATTGTCTGATCTTTTAGAAATAAAAAGGAAAAAGCCGTTTTATATATATATATATATATATAATATATAATACTTGGATAGCCCGTGTTAAGTGGCTCTGCGACCGTCAGCATAATCTTTATTTTTCGGAGTTTTGCTGGTTTAACCGTGCTGTTTCCTTGAAGCTCCGAGGTCAGCCAGGAAAAAGTCTGCCCCGGGTCTTCACCACCCAGGTAGTTGCAGCCCTTGTGGATCAAAGGGATATTTGCTACTATGCGCCTTTGATACTAGGACGGTAGTGGGTCCTGGTATTGATTTACTCCTAGCTGGGCTTCCTAGTAAAAAACCCGTACCCCTTCTCAGCTTGGGAGACCCAACACGGGGTTGAATTTTGCGGCTGTACATCGCCGCCCGACAGCCAGGAAAGCCCCCAGCAACGATGAGGCGGTGAACCGTTGGGAGGTTTATTTGTATGTATGTATACATATGTACGTATGTATATGATAAGCATAATTCTATATTTTTATGTGTATATGTTGTTCTGTTGTTAGTTTTCTAACCTTAGTCTTTTTTTGTTCTAGATTAAAATAATGTGAGCTTATTAGCAACTGTAAATTATTTTCAGTAGAAGAGAATTAAGTAAAAGTTGATGAGGCAGTTGCACTGTGGATTCGTCAGCACGGCAATGCATCAATCTGGGCATTCTCATTGTCATAAATACGGATCTCTTAATACTTTGGCCTCTTAACTGAAATCACCCTATATTTTGCTAGTGGTCAACAACGAGTCCTCATAAATTTATTTCTGCCTTCAGAAGTGAGATTTAAATGTAAGGAAAACGCTGAATTTGGAGAATGTGAAATAATGATGATAAAGGATAAGGACAAAGCTCTAGGCGTTGATCAGTTCTTGAGGAATGCGCCATTCATTCGACTCCATTAGGCATGGTTTGGAGGTGAGCGAATGCATATGGGCTTTACAAAGATTCGCGGTGGCCTACCGATGTGTCGAGCCAGTGTTGCTATCCTCCTAGACAAGTCTGGTACCAATTTGCCTGCCGAACCCGGAGGGACGGAGGGCTTGGTGGGCCGTGGGCGCGGGGTCGATTCCACGTGTGTCGCAGTGGCGCCTCCAACCACTGAGCCAAGTGCCCTCGAGATAATAATGATAATAGTAACTCTAACGATGCTGAGATATTTGCAAAACTCCGGACCGCAGGTGTCTGTGGTGGGGAACGAACGCGCTATTGCCCTTTCCGGGGAGTAACGCGTTCACCACCACACCACGCGGGTCCTTCGTTTCGCCTGTCTCTCAGCTAGTTCTATCGATCTTTTGCCGTCAGCAATCACCCGTCAGCGGGATTGATATATTATATATTATATTTCTCATTATACCCTGCCATTGAAAATAGGCAGTAAGTAAAACGATTAAGATAATGATAATAGTAATTATTATTATACCAGTGATATAGTAGTAGTGGTAGTAGTAATAATAATAACAGTAGTGTGCGCTGTTGATTACATCGTCTTCGTATTTCCGAAATTTGATTTGATAACTAGAAGAACTGTATGCTTCTAGCTGTGCTTGTTATCGTACTTGAACGACATAGTAGCGATCTTTTCTATGAACATGAAACAAGACATTTTGATCTGAAAGAAAGTCAATGCACGTTTCTGCTTGGGCCTCACTTTGTCTCGTTTTTAGGTGAACAGTTTTTTTTATTTTTTTAGTTTCATTTTATTTGGTATATGTTCACGTCTACTATGCGAATCCCAGCACTTCTCACATCTAATTCGTTTTCTCGCATCCATCGTTCTTGAAGGTCTTCCAAGTTTTTATGTGTGGTTTCGGTTGCTGCCTGAGGATTTTCATTTCATCTTGAATGTCGTAGAATGCTGGTCGAGCAGTTCTTTCTGAAGTCCTGAGATAGCCGGGCAGGAGCGTTCCCAAATGGCTTACAGAGGGTGATTTTCTCCCTAGAAAAGTCCCGTACCAATTCCTCACCTCGAAGGAATGAGAGGCTTGGTTGGCCCGGTGCGGAATCGAACTAGCACCATGCTCGTGATGGCGAACATCAACGCACTGTGCTATCCGTCCCATGAAGAGCTTTTTAATAAGAAGGATAAAGAATAAAGCCCTCGACGTTGATTATTCCCTAAGAGGTGCGCCATGCATTCGACTTCACTAAACATCGTTTGGAGGGGATTGAATTCACATCTGGCCTTTACAATGACTCGCCGTGGTCTACCGATATATCCGACCAGTGATGCTATCCTCCCAGACAAGTCTGGTACCAATTTGCCGAACCCGGAACCCTGAAGAGATGGAAGGCTTGGTGGATCATGGGCGCGCAGATTGATTCCACGTGTGTGTTGCAGAGCACCTCCAACCACTGCTCCACGAGCTTTTTGATAAACTAAATAAAATTACAGAGTAATGGTTAGCAACGATTTTTCTTCTGAGAAACCTACAAATATTGAGTCCATTCCAAATTACCTTGAACCCGCGCCGCTGAACCATTCGACGTCCGTCGCCAATTTTGAACGACCAGTATAAAGTAACATTTACTGCCTTTTTATCCAATCACATTTCGTGATTTATTCAATTTCACTATATGGTTGAAGAAAAGCTCCTTCTAGATGGCTGCATAAATATCTTAACGGTTTATTTACTTCCTTATTTACCCATGTATTCATTTATCTATGCGCCCCGACTTCACGTATTGTGCTGGTTCTAGTACTTATTTCATTCGGTTCTTTGTCTCGCGTCCTAGATCCAGGAAAATGGTTCACTGGAATCCTGTCAAAGGTCTTCTAGTGCGTTTCTAGGTCTGCTTGGCATGTCCTCTCGTTCTTTCTTATATGGGTAATGTGAATTCTTATGCGGCTTTTCTATCGTTATCGTCGTAGACATTACTCTCAAGCTTTCGAAAATATCCTGTTTGAATTCCTAACTGCTTTGGGCGTAAACTTTTCTGCCCTCAAGAAAAGATTCCCAGACTGGGGAGGAGGAACGGTCTATTTCTGAACATATACATGTTCCATATTCACGAAAATGTGACACATACGCACACATGAAGTTGCTAATTATTTGAGTAAAATACAGCAGTAGAATCGTGTTGTTCTTCCCTATTGTTCGATGGCATCTCAAGATGTTCTGTTGTTGTTGTTGTTGTTGGTACAATAACCTGATATCGTGTGTAGAAATGCCCTAGTATCGTTGTATTTCTTCGCTAGATGATGCTTTTACCAACATTGGAAGTGGTTGAGGAGTGAAAAATATGGGAGTAAAACTTCTCTGCCGTGGTGAGGAGTGGTGGAAGTTTCGCCTTTGTTCAGTGAAGGTGATGGGCATATTCAAATCCTTGCAACAAAGTTTCTCGGGACACTTTTTCAAGTTTGTTTTTTTTAAAGTGCCATGTCCTTTAATTTCCTATTGTTGTGGCGTATTGGCGCAATGTTAGAGGTGCCGTTTAATACTCACTTGTCACTGGTTCAATCCCGTGCTCTGAACCTTCATTTAGACCATTCATTTATTCGGGATCAGCAATTGGCATTCTGGAATAATAGAAACATTGACTTGTATTTTATGTATTTTGATGCAGGGCATTATAGCGCAGTGGTTAGATATGTATTTCCATATAAAGCGGTGAAACCGGATGATGTACCTTTCCTCTCATCTCTAGCAATTCTCTGGCGATATAGAAATGCCATATGAACCTCTTTTTAAAGAGCTGTAACGTTTTTTTGCACAGTTTTGGAGCTCCTTAATAAAAGATTTGCAGTCCTCTTTTCGGAATTCTCAATAGACAATTTGTATGGAGAAAAAATTTCGCCTAATATTTTTCCGTCCTATATAAAAGTACTAAATAAGCACCACTTTGTACTTATAGTGATATAATAAATAATCTCGTGGGTGATACTTTTCGTCGATTTCCTTGTATATTGGCGATTTTTTCTGAAGACCGGGTTTTAATTTAAGAAATGTGGGAAAAAAGGGTAAGAAAGGTTTCCATTGTTGTCATTGCATACTCCTTCACTAGCCCTTCGTAAATATTTTGCTGCTGGAGTTTTGCAAATTAAATTCGTGCATGAATTTCCATTGTCGACCACTTCTTCTAATTACGTGTCGTACTCATACTAAATAGCTGCACAGGTTGGTAAGTTAGAGTTAATGTTGCTGACCTTGTTGAGAACATTGAATTCTCACCTTGGGTGACCGTGCTGTGAGATTGAGCACCAGGTGAGCTTGAGGGAGTAGACCGTAGAGAGCTGAAGAGGCTGCATTCATAACTGAAGAAGGTTAAGATGTGTGCAGAGATGTAATTAAGTTAAATTGGCTTTTACTGATTATTTTTCTAAAGCGGTGTGATGCTTGATTTACTTTTCATGTTTTTAAGCCAACAATACACAGAACCTGTCCACATCTCCATTTTTGGCTAACCAATATCGTTCTGGGGCACCTGCACAAGCTCCTTTTTCTGAAGATACCAAAAACCAGACGCAAACCAGTGAGTATTTAAGATTACTATTAAATATGGACACATGAGGGAGTACAATTGTTAAAGAAAAAGTGTAGAAGTGTTTTTGCAGTACTTACATCATTAATGAACAAAGCTCCAGCAGACGATTCTGGCAGTTCGGGACCATCTTCGAAAACGGTCAGTGCTAAAGGCATACTCTATAGTAGAATGATGCAACAAACGTAGAATAACTTTTGGCGCTTCTTACGGGAAAGTTCCAATGTTGTTTTGCCTATGCTGTTTTGTTTAGTTTCCTTTTTTTCCTTATACTTCAACTTTATAGTACACTTATTAGCGAATAAATTTGCTGATTACCAGGATCGAAACGAGTAAGTAAAGATCAATTGCAACCTATTAGGATTCTACAGGAGCAAGGTTCCCGGTAATTGGTAGAATGCCGTCATTAAATTAATCAATCCGTCTACACCCGTTAGAAGACTGTTTGTTTTACAGAAGAAATGGAAGACCTTACGTGTATATCTATTGGCACTGCATTCTTTAGTTATTCATTTGGCCCATCTTCACTTATTATGAGTGAGCAAACGCTTTTTCACCTCGTTGTCTTGCATATGTCTTCAGTGGAGGTGGTTGAATTCGCTAGTGGAATCTGCTTGATTTTATGCTCTTCTAACCGTCTTAAAGAACATTGTTGGGCATGACTTTTCTACGAATCATCGTTCTAGAGCGTTCCAGGTCCTTCGCTCGTGGAACTGCCAACTTTATTGGTTCGGTGAGAGTTTTCCTAGACAAGCCCGTTAAACATTTGGGGACTCAGCAGGGATGGAAGGCTTGATTCTCCTAAGGCGTAGTCCAACCAATGATCTTGCATATTGAAATGGGCAGATATAGCATTGAAATTTATTGCAAAGGTCGAAACCGGATGTACTTTTCTTCATGGAGTGTACACTACTAATTCGACTCCATTTCGTCAGTGCAATCTGTAGCTATTCGTCAACATTATGCACCTCACCAGTGCACCTCACCAGTTTCTCTTCCGAATAGTCGGATTGTAGGCATAAATTAGCAGAATTATTTGAAGTTATTAATTAAAATTTGCGAGAATGAAAGCAGTATAAAAATTAACTAAAAATAAACTTTTTTGTTGGAACACAGAAGTGGTTTTAAAAACGATTCTCGAGAAAAAATTTTGTTACGCTTTCAGTGTCCTCTGAAAGTGAGCCGGAGTAAGATCGACTATTCATTGGAGAATTCGTTCTCTGAAACGTATTCCATGCTAACCAGCTTCTTATCGAAATTAGCTGTTGAACACGCGGGCACTACTGACAAGAGAATCGTGGGGACAAAGCACAGCGAACCTCATAGCAGTACTGGCAAAATCCCAACGATTCCACCACCATCTTTTCTGAAAACGGCGCCCGGATCACCTTCAATCACATCTGATCGATTCCTTGTCGTGCTGCCGGAAAACGCCTTGGAAATAACGCCGGAAAACAGCACTGCACTTCTGAATACCGTCAAAGAACAAGTAGACGTATGCATACGATCACCGAATGAGATGCATTCCAAGCATGTAGACGGGCAAAATGGTCTTCTGAATCCATTGTCGTTGGCAGCGCGACCGGAGAGGCAGTGGAATCAATCAGATATGGACACCATGCTCAACTCCTCCCTTTTTCGAGCATTTCCTCGAATGTCGTTCCGACCACCTGTCAAGCGCAAACTTTTTGACGACTTTTCTGTAAGTCCATTATTTTTGCGTTAAAAGCGCACTCAGCTTTCGAATTTTTGCGTACAATTTGTATAAATTATTACTTATGTGGAGTCCATGATATTGACATGCATGATATGGTTTCGGTTTCAAGACGTTTTGATACTTTAGAATTTGATTCCTCACAGCAGAATGTTTGTTGTGGGTCAATTTTTACTTCATATTAAGGATTATTCAGGCATCGACCTCGACTGTGCAAAATTCAAGGCCGGAAATAGATGATCTGGAAGGCTTCGCACAGCATTTTAAAAAGCAACGCATAAAACTAGGTAAACGAATATTCAAATCGCCTTTTATTCTAATGACTATCAGATCCTATTATTTATTAAGGTTATACACAAGGCGATGTTGGTCTTGCGCTTGGTCGGAAGTATGGTACCGATTTCTCACAAACTACCATATCTCGCTTCGAGGTTAGCATAGAGCTCATTTCGTCTTGAACAATGGTTTAATCATCCCTTCAGGCCATGAACCTCTCCTTCAAAAATATGTGCAAACTTCGCCCGCTTCTGAAGGAATGGCTGGAGGGTCATGAAGCAGCAGTAGCCAACGGTGCAAACGTTGAAGAACTACGAAGCATCGAAATTTCGAAGGTGGAAAAAATTTGGAAACAATAGAAACTGTATTAACCAGCCTTATACACCACTCGGTGTGGCACACAGCATAATGCCTTTGTCACGTAGATGCGTTTATGTGATATGATATTCAACTGTATTTTGAGTGATAATGGTGATCGTGATACCTCAAATTAACGATGCTGCATAATGCTGTGCTAATGCAGCTTTCATGATCGGTCGCTTAATGCATTTCCATGCATTTTCTGCGCATTTATCGATAGTTGGATTTTCTGCAGACGCGCACAGTATAAGATGCTTAAAGATTTTATGAGTTGTCCTTCAAACAAAGATTGGTGTTTTCTAAGGACAAAATGGAGGACTGTGTGGACGAGTTGCCTATTCATAGACCCACAAGCATTGAGCCGCTTATGAAGAGACGTCGAAAACGCACAAATCTCGACCTCTCACAGGTGACTTACTGTCATCATACGTTATAAATCTCATTTTCTGCTTGGGAGTTTTAACTGTAGCTTATCGGATATTGAATTTATAGTTTTCCACAAGCAAAAAACTGGTATGCTTGATGTTTGAGCTGAACAAGTACGAATTAAACAAAGCATTGCTGCTATCGGGAAATGTATTTCATTGCTTTCAGCGTAAATCTCTGGATAATTTTTTTCTGGCAAATCCTCGCCCAGGGCATGAAGAAATGGTGAGAATAGCGAACGCACTTGATTTGGAAAGAGATGTATGTGGTTTCTTCTTAACTACAATATTGGAAATTCACAGGGGCTCTCAGTCATTCTTGTTCCTTACTTTTCATGGGTAGCGGACAACTGAAGCCGCTCTAATGATTTTCGGGAAGACTATTTAATTAAAGAGAACTGTTTTTTGTGCTTCTTTTGGGAAATATCCTTCCATATTTATTTATTCTCAACTAGGATTACACGAGCATGCATTTGCTCTTGAAGGAACATTGGAGATTCTGAATATTTTAGTGTACAATATATATATATATATAATATTAATAAGGCATATGTGGCGTAATCGTAGGAGAAACGCAGTAATACACACTTACATGGTCTTTGGTTAGATACCGCATACTAGATAAACCAACCTTTTCTTCTCTCCCGCCTCGGAAATTTGGTACGGGTTAGGGATAAAAGCAGCCCTCGCTCGATACCTCAGTATGAATCTTGCAAGTCATTGTATAAGTTAAATATGCATTTGATCATTTCTGCGTTGCTTAACACGTGACAATGAGGCTGATCATTCGTTAGCTGGTAACGATTTTTCGATCACTAGAGTATTTGAGGAGTTCAAGACGGCTGTGATTCATAGTGAAGACCTCTCTCTCTCTTTCTCTCTGTCTGTTTCACTTGCTCTCCTGGTCTCTTTTTAATCTTATGTGTAACTGCTTTGCAATATTCTTCCAATTTTAAATATGTATTGGCAATAGGGCGGCGCGTGTGGCACAGTGGTCGGTGGAGCCCTGCAACACACAAGTGGAATCGATCCCCACCCCATGGCCCACCAATCCTTGCGTCCTCCCGGGGTCAGTAAATTGGTACCAGACTTAAGATAGCAGCATTGGCTGAATACATCAGTAGGCCACTGCGAGTCACTGTAAAGGTCAGATATGCATTCAGTTACTTCCATCGATGCTAAATGAAGCGTCGAATGCACGGCGCATCCCTTAAAAACTGATCAGCGCCGAGAGCTTTATCCTTTTAGCTTTGTTAACAATATGATTTTTAAAAAATGGAAAACAATTCTTAAAGTTTTTAAAGCTAACGTTGCAGCTGCAATAATAAGCGATTCATGGGAACACCATAGTAATGTTGGTCGAAATTTTCTTGTTAAGTCGTTTCCCTGTTAGAAACACGAGCTTTGACGCAAAAAAGCTTACAGAAATTTTTATCATTGGCTTCTGAAAAATGAGATTTTACCTTCCTAAAATAAGGGACTTGAACTTTATAGGCAAAGATTTGCAGATGCTGATTGTTTTCATTTCGAACATTAGATTTTAGTATGAGGTTAAATATGGGCGCGTGTAGCACAGTGGTTAGAAGCGCCCTGCGCCGCACACATGGGATCGATCCCATGGTCCCAAGCTCCTTTTTCCTGCCGGGGTCGGCAATGTGGTACCAGACTTCTCTAGAAAGATAGCAGTACTGACTCGCTACATCGTTTGGCCACCGGGAGACATTGTAAAGGCCAGATATGCATTCAATCACCTTCAACCGTGCTTAATGAAGTCGAATGCATGGCACATCTCTTTAAGGATTGATCAATAACCAAGAGCTTTATCCTTTTTTATATGTTGAAAGGTATCGGCGTAATGTATCTCATTTCAATGTTTATTCATAACGCTGTTAAATGAGGGTCGATTTACAACAATTATATTGGTCTAAATTCAAAAGTTTAAAAATCTGTTCTATAATAGATAAAAGTTGAAATTATCTGGATAAAAGGAACCACGTTTTACTCAGAGCACCTAGAAACGAAAACATATTGCTTTCTTATGACTTATCGAGTGTGCATAATCTCTATCCATACTTACGCGAGACACGTAAACTGATGTGAGTGTGTGACTATGAGTTCTTTTAGATTGCCACTGATTTGTCAGAAGCGTGTGTTGAAAATATTAAATATCGTGTACCTTTATTGTTTTGCTAGATATTTCTTTGTTGAGATCAGCTAAATCGGGACATCTGTCCCCATTAGAAAGGGGAAGACTATGGAGTCGGGCGTTTCACACTGGAAACCCTATCATGAAGTATGTGGATAACAATGTTTACTTTTTACTTTCTGCCTTCTATAATTTTTATGGAAGCGTATTAAGCGAAATACAACCACAATATTGCTGAGATATTTGCAAAACTCCGGACCGCAGGTGCTTGCGGTGGGGAACGAACGCGTTATTATCTTTTCCGGGGCTAACGCTTTCACTACCGCACCATGTGGGTCCTTCGTTTCGCCTGTCTCTCTTCCATCGATCTCTGCCATCAGCAATCACCTGTCAGAGGGCCAGTTAAGCTGAAGGCTGTCTGTAGTTGGATTTACAACGTTTACATTTTGTTTTCTGCCTTTTATAATATTTATGACAAAGTATTAAGCGAAATATAACCACGATATTGCTGACAGATTTCTAAAACTTCGGACCGCAGGTGTTTGCGGTGGGGAACAAACGCGCTATTACCCTGTCCAGGGGCTAACGAGTCCACCACTACACCACACGGGTCCTTCGTTTCGCCTGTCTGTCAGCTTTTCTTTACCGATCAGTACCATTAGCAATCAGCCGTCAGCGGGATTGATCTGGGAAGCGCACATCGGCATTGAACCGATTGAGGCTGGGCTGTAGTTATAATCGCAATTTCAACTTATTATTTACTGCCTACTGTTTTTAATGGCAGAGTATATTACAAAATATGACTTCAATGATGCTGGGACATCTACGAAACTCTAGACTTCAGATGTCTGTAGTGGGCAACGAACGCACTATTGTTCTTTCCAGGGAGTAACACGTTCACCACCACACCATATGTGTCCTCCGTTTCGCCTGTCTCTCAATTAGTTCTAGTTTTGCAAATAACTCAGCATCATTGGAGTTATGTTTCGTGACATTCCCTGTCATGGAAAAGAGTAAGCAGTAAATAATAAGCTGAAATTATGACTATAACCACAGAATATTAATAACATTTGTATGTCCATTGTTTGGTCAAGAATCTTGTTCCTCCAGTGAATAACCAAGCGTCACGCGTACGACTAGAAACTAAGGGATTTGAATCAATTGATCTTTACATATTCGTCTCATTTAATTCATATTTCTTATACGGTACTTTTTAGGTGGTTCGTGTATGGTTCTGTAACCGTCGCCAAAAATTACGTCGCTCTGAAGATCTGTTTCCGATGATACATTCATCGTGCAGAACAAAGGTATTCGTTACATAAAATGTAATGCCAAATAGATAACTGAACATTGTGAATTTTGCTTGCTCACTCTTTTAACTCCTGGTTTTCTTTTAGACGCTACGCAATTTTAAAAAGTCGAAAAAGAGAACCGTTCTTTGCATAGAGCATTCACTTTTGAGCGATTTTTCTTCATATGTCCGAATTCGTTACCGATATGATTTTGTAAAAGTAGAGGTGTTCACTCGTTCACTGACGTTTCCTCTAGAAGGTAGAAGGAAATAAAATTAAGGTTATTCACTGCGAAATCTTACAGAGGAAGCTCATTTATGCAAGAGGAGGTCAAATGTTGAGAAGCAGTTCTGCATTTCCGTTCGAATGCCCAAGCAGGAGTAAAGAACTTCGAGGAGTTTCTGGCAAAAATAGTAGTAGTAAAAGGTCTAACACCGAAGATGCGTTGTTCTTCATATTTCTCGAACTAACAGAGCTTATATGTATTCTTTCTTGATAAGCTTACACGAGGTTGATAAATATATTTATTTTCGGCTAACGTTTCGACGTCTTCGTCTTCCTCAGAGCCGGTGATCCGAGTCGATGGTCCATGCTTGTTGTTCGCCTTGACGTTGCGTCTTCGCCTTCCTGTCGAGCCAGATCTTCCTCAGCGAGCCATCTTCTCGAATGAGGCATCCTCACTCAGTGATGCCCTTTTATACACGATGCTGATGGTAGATATATAATGACAATGTCCGGTGGTAACAATTTGTATTTCTTCCGGACATGCATCATTGCGCACATCGTGCAGAGGTCGGTGTGTTATCAGCTAGCACAAAGCGTAGTAATATTTCGAAATATTGTCCCCATTGTCATTATATATCTACCATCAGCATCGTGTATAAAAAGGGCATCACTGAGTGAGGATGCCTCATTCGAGAAGATGGCTCGCTGAGGAAGATCTGGCTCGACAGGAAGGCGAAGACGCAACGTCGAGGCGAACAAGCATGGACCATCGACTCGGATCACCGGCTCTGAGGAAGACGAAGACGTCGAAACGTTAGCCGAAAATAAATATATTTATCAACCTCGTGTAAGCTTATCAAGAAAGAATACATATTGATTTGTCACACCGAGGTTTAGGGAAGGTCGGTTTCGAAATAACAGAGCTTACTCACCGGCTTTGACTTGCGAAAAGAGTGAAGGGAAGCATTGTTGTTGCTCTCTCTATCGTAGAGAGGACTGAAGATCATAAGAGTGATACACTTTATGCAAACAACTAATCTGTTCTGAAGTTATTAATCAACTGAATTTTGGACTTATTTCCAGGAAAATTGGGTCGCATTTAGCGTGCTGGTTAGTGGTGTGTAGCATCCGGTTGGGCGCCTCGGGTTAACCAAATCCACCATCCTCCCAGGCTCAGTAAATTCGTATCAAACTTGTCTAGAAACATAAGACATAGAAGTGATACATTGATAGACGCCAGTTGTCGTTTACCGTGTTGATCAACTATTCATTCAACCACTTGTACAATACTCAATAGAGTCGAATGCATAACGTCATCTATAAGTAATTAATGACGAGCTCTTCGTTCCTTATCATTTACTCGGATAATTAGAAGCAAATGTTGCATGTATACCAAATTCCTTTTTGGACCTTTATATAAAGTTATTTATCCATGTTGAAGACCATTCTTATTAATTTGAATGTGTGTTTTCCCGATTAATTCTTTTAACGTACAGATTTTTTTTGTTGTACATTTGGTACTGAATCAGCTGCTTAATCAGTACTTTCCGTGTCACAGATATTCCACTCGATATGGCGTAGAGACGTTATAAACTAGAACACTGCAATTAGCAGTAAACAATTATTACAATGAGTTTCATCTCTATGAGTCGGGCGGAGATGTTTGCTTTACTGATAGAGCAGCATGTTGACTTGTTGATAAGAAAGCACGAAGATGTTTCTGTTCTGGATAGGCAGTTCGAATAGGCGTTGAGAGCAGCGCATGCGGCGAGCGGAGAGAAACTAGATGTGGTCGCGAATGTGTCAAAATTATCAAGATGCTTTAACAAGTTGATTTTTGAGCTATTTCCTTAGCGGTTTATCGTTTTATTCTGGTGGATAGTTTTCTTAATACAGAAATGTATCAGGAGCTCGCAGAATGTCCCTTAACAAAGGTAGACAGAGTGAGAAGAAATTTGCATTCAGAAATGCATTTAAGAGTAAAATTGTGGCAGTGATTACCGCTTTTCTGAGGGAAAAAAAAGAAGGAAAAAAGCTTCTCTATAAGAGCGCGAAATTAATTCCGTTTTACGAAAGCGCTATGGTGACGATATGGAAACGTTCTTGATACACGTTGACTTGGTTATCACTATAATTCACCGTACAAGTAAAATAGAGATCAAGTGGAATTTGTACTGGGACTGCAGAAATTGTGTAATGAGGCTGTCGAAGTACTAAAGATGCTAAAAAAACAAAAAAAATAGGTTTTTCTTTGCTCCATAATTCCTTTGTTCAGCTTATTCAAGGTGATTTTACATAAACACGTATTTTTTCGTGGAATCTGACTAAGCTGTTTCTTTGAGTGCAGAATATTTCAGGCTAAGAAGTCCTATCCGGTGAACCTCTCTGCAGAAATGAGTGAGGGTAACCTAAAGTTGGAAACTGCTGAAACTACAACAAATCTCTACTGACACGACATTGTAAAGCATCTAAAAGATTTCTTTCTGTTTTTTTTTTCTGGTTTAGAAGAATACTAATTGAGAGTATGAAGTGCTACGGTTTTTTAAGTCAATCCATCCGGTAAAGACATCATTAGATCTGCTCATTCACTACCAGTGTTTTGATCACGGTTCTCAAGTGTATTACTTGTCCGGTAGAATATTGACGGTAATAGCTTACTCTATCCTTTTTTTCTTTTCTTCATTTTTAGAATGAAATTTGATTTGAGCATTTGTTCATGCTTTTCCTCTTGCATTTCTACATTTGTTTTACTAATTCATTGCGTTCATTATAAGTTTTTATCATAGTTGTTCGTTTTTTTTGCTGCCAACTTTTATCACCTATCATCAAATTCGCATTCAAGTGCCTATGCATTTCTTCCATGAATCGATTCGCTTCTTTTAACTCAGGTCACATGATATTGTATTCTTTTTCCGGTAGCACTCAATACGACTATTCATCACTATTTTCGTTTTGTTTTTCCTTTTGTTTTTATTCTATTTCATTTTGTTTTTTTTTGTAAATGTTTCTTCCACTTACAAGGAGCCTACGAATCGACCGGTTTTAAGATACACATAGCATCAGCTCTTGAATTTTTCAGAGTTATTTCTTTTCTCTGCAAGATATCCCAATTAGTTATGACTTTTTCTTATTTGTGACATTAAATCATTGTCGTTGTGATCGCATGGTTCTATGTTCTCAAACTTGCATTTATAATTCTTTATTGATGCAAATAACATTGTTTGTTTTGTTTATTTCCGGCAACAGAAAAAGGTGATACATTTGCTTTTAACAGCGGGTACGTCAAATCCTCTGTTTCGTCATTACAGAGTAGCGTAACATTGCCGACCAGAAAATGTTGACATAAACTAATAAGATACAGCTTTGCACTGTAAACACCCACAAGTTTTATCTTAGAGAACTACGGAGTATTTTTATGGGATACTGTAGCTCACTGGTTGCAATACACATGTGTCTCTTGGTTCGATACCTCTCCTCGTGAAACATAAGTAGTCCATCCATTCTCGGTCAGCATATTTCCATCAGAAAGGCCGTCGAAATTCATTAGAATCACTTTTGCGAAAATTAGTGAAGTCAAACGCACGAAGATTCCTGCTTGGTCAGCGCTGAGTGCTTTACCGTACTACTTATATCATAAAATAGTGGCTCTTAATCACATGAAATGTAGAGATATCTAGAGACCACTATTTACGAAATCTTACAACTGAAGACATACAATCCCAAAACGTTTTTTAGACGTTTATAAGGAATAAATAGCACGAAAGCACTTTTATATGCTTATACGAGTCCATTTTTTGTATGTGATGGAAAAACCAGTATCAACGCATTGATTACTACTAAGGTTAGGGAGCAAACCTTCAAAGAATTTGTTGGCTTAGAATAACCTTTTCACTCATCGTCAAATAGAATTCCATGCATTCTTTATATTCTACGAGCAACTGAAGGATGAATGGGCCTATCCTACTTGAATATTCGCCATACTACGATGCCTGTTTGGACGTACTTATGCACAACAGACTAACAGATAGTTGGAATTGAAAAATACTTAATGATCAAGTAGTCAGCGCACATCACAATAAACTCAACCTCTGATGGTTTCTTATCAGTGAAAGGAGTTCGTGCGATGTAAACAGACGATAGCTGCACTGTTTTCGATAGTGCTACCATCCGATTTCGTTCCACATTCGTACGCCTACATCACGTTTCTTGAATGCACTGCTGCTTCGACCTTATTCTTTAATATACACATTGGGCTTGCAATGGAACCATATTTACTTGGATGCTTGCAGATATGCTAATAATCGCTTCGTTACTTGTCGTTCCATTTGCCGCAAGTATTGGTGACCTCGACATTCCGTCAAACGTGGCTAATCGGTATGATATCGCCAACAGTGCCTTGCAAAGAAAGTGTAATTCAAGACATGTCTCATACTACCATCGGTTACCGTTGAGAATATCTAGGAGAACATTTAGATAAAGGCTACCAATATTCGAAGCGCATTAATAAAGAAAAAAAAAGACGAATAAAACTCACGTTCCTAGAAGTGACTTCCATGAAACGCTAAATACCTGTCATCTTAGAGTTTATATTAGACAAAGCGTTTGGCCTTAACCAAGTCTTAAACGATGCCCCACGCATTAAACTTAATAGAGGTGATTTGATGCAAGTCTGGGCCATACATTGATTGGCAGTGATCTACCAATGTGCGGACCAAGTGCTGATATCTCCTAACGAAGTCTCGCACCAATTTGTCCATCTCGGGTGGATGGAAAAAGCTTGAGAGTCCTATACGCAAGATCGAACTGGTAACCAAGTCAGGGTATATTGCAGCCACCTCTAACCACTACCCAACACGCGCCCCTAGTTGCCATCATAGTTACCCCAAATTGATATGAATAGCACAATGTGACGTTATATATGGGTTCTCTTCTTCATCTGAGACTACCTAATGAAGCCAGAGAGTTCGAAGCTGTCGAGCAACAGGATAAATAGCAAAAACGAGGGATGATCACTTTCGTGGCGATTTCGCTGCAATCAACGAAGCCTGGACGCAAAATCTAGTTCTGTCCTTGGGTTCAGTTTCATCCAAGTGCCTCACGATGGCGCGGAGCAATTACTCGAGAAAAGGCTTTATGCAGCAAGCTCAGTAATTTGATCATATTGCAAAGGTCTGATACCCGATACATTTGATATCTATTATCTGGTATTATCTCTGATACCCTTTTAGTACAAAATCATGGTACGTGGGATCCTCCAGTGGCAGCGCATACGTCCCATTCGAAAGCATAGCAT